AAGATAAGCTCTTTGTTGATGAAGTCGGTGTATGTGATCTTGGACACGGAGTGGTCGAGGAACGTTCCAGGCTTGAATTGACGAAGCCATTCCTTTCGCTCATCCGCCTTCTTCTTAGAAAAGGCGAGTTCGATCAGCCCAGCCTCATTATCCTGCAGTGTGTGGAATTCCTTCAAGTGACGATCGAGATCACGGAAGTAGACCTGGGCATCTTCAGTGGTGCTGGTACCCAGACCCTTGTAGTACTTGTGCTCCCAGCCGCGTTCGTGTTTGTGCTCCTCCTTCCACACCTCATATTCTGGCATGGTGAAGAAGGACCGTTGCTTGGTGGGATTCTTGGGATCACCCTTCCACACCTTGACAATGGGAGTAATGAACTCGATCAAGAACTCAGGAATCTTCAGCAAACTGGGGAATTGGGCTTGAAGGAAGTTGATGAGCAACCCCTTGATGTGACTACCGTCGTGATCCTGATCCGTCATGATCATCAAGTGACCATAGCGAAGACCGCGGGTGTCCGTGTATTCCTTCTTGTGTTGAAGACCAATGAAGTTCTTGATGTTCTGGATTTCTGCATTCTTCGAGATCTGATCAAAAGACGCATCACGCACGTTGAGCAGCTTTCCTCGAAGCGGGAACACACCGAACAGGTCAGGGCCGACAACTGATCGTCCAGCCACGGCCAGACCTTTGGCTGATTCACCCTCAGTCAAGATCAGGGTGCAGTGATGACCGTCCTTAGTACCAGCCTTGTTGGCATCCGTCAGTTTGGGGTTGTTCATGCGGCTGCGCCGGCCACCGTCCGTCTTCTTCAACATCTGATCGGCCTTTTGCTGGGCAAAATGCAAGATGTTGTTCATCACCTCTGTCTTCAGAACCTTTTTGTAAAAGTCGTCATCGAGAACGCATTTGCTACCGAATTGGGATGTTTTGGTCGTGAGTTGTTCTTTGGTCTGAGAGGTGAACGCCGGGTTGACAATCAGGGCGTTGACGAAGATGAAGATGTGGTTGCGGATTTGGGCTGGCTTCAGCGTGGCGCCATTCTTGTTCTTCTTCTTGACAGTCTCGGCGAGCTTACTACAAATTTGATCCGCGATGTAGTTCACGTGTGTACCTCCTTGGGTAGTTGCGATGGAGTTGACAAAGGACACCTGCTGGAAGGAGCCATCAGAGACCGCAAAACCGACCTCCCATCGAGGGTCCGGGCTGCAGGTGATGATTTCATCTTTGGCTCCCGCGCCCTCCTCGCCGCGCTCCCTCCTAATAGCCTTGGTGTACATTTCCATGTACTTCTTGAAGTTCCGTACGGGAACGCGGGTACCGTTCAGCTTAACGGCCACCTTCGCTGTTCCAGCCAAGTCATAAACACGACGTTTGACAAGCGCTTCGAAATCATCGTCAATGCCCGTCATTCCGAACTTGGCGAAGTCAGGCTTGAATGTGACCTTGGTGTAGTCTTCTCCCTTCGCATCGGTGATTTTAGGCTTTCCACAATTCAACATGTTGTTAGTCCAGATCTGCTTATACCTCTTCTTTTGGCGTGAGTCCTGTGTTTCCAGTACGAACTCGGTGGAGAACACGTTACAGAGCTTAGCACCATAACCGTTTCGACCACCCGTGACCTTCTGTTGCTCGTCGTTGTAATTAGACGAGGTCAAGAGGTTACCGAAGATGAGCTGCGGAATGTACATATCCTCGGTTTTGTGCCATTCGATGGGAATACCGTTGCCGTTGTTCCACACGCTAATCTCGCCGGCTTCCCGGTTGACCGTCACGCGAATCTCATCCATGCTTTGGTCATTTTGTTTGTTGTCGGCGGCGTTGACGACAATTTCATCGAAGATCTTATAGAGACCTGGAACAAACGAGACCTCGCGGAATTCCATACCATCCGTTTCCGAGTTATAAACCCACATCATCTGTTCTGTGCGTTCAACGGATCCGACGTATGTATCCGGACGTTTGAGGATATGCTCGCGCGGATCAAGCTAGAAAACCAAATATCAGCTGCGCTGCTTCCCCTCCAGTAGACATTGTCAAGTCTTACCCTCTGGAACTTTTCGGATGCGTCCATAGCAACATCATCACCAGCAGAGTCAGCCTTTCCAAATGACTCGTTCTCAACGTCGGCAAGCGGCTTGCTACCTCCCTTCTTCGAAGCGGCCGGAGCCTTCTTGGCCTTCTTAGGAGGGGTGTGAGACATGATAGAGTCGATGTCGGAAAGGGGGTCGGCGTCGTCCATTTCATCGTCGCTGTCGGGCTTGGTCCGCTTCTTGGGTGCTGCTTTGGATGCAGACTTTGCCGTCAACTTGGTTTGGGTTAGTTTCTTGGGCGCTGCCTTTGAAGCTGCCGCTTTTTTGGGCGCCGCCTTGGCTTTGGGTTTCTGTACCGTTCACGCAACGATTAGTATTTGTCGAATGAAAGACTTGGGACAGATTGCAGCATACAGGAGCGGGTTCGGGGGCGAAGTCGGATCCATCGTCCTCGAAGACGGACTCCACCATGGAATCGTCCATTGTGGGTTGAGTACGCTCGGGGCGCGTGTAAAAGAGTGAACGAGGGGAAAGGAGGGCAAAGAGTGACAAGACAGGAGAAACGAAGATTAGTTAGTGTGAAATCTACCTCGCCGGTGGAGGCTATCTGATATACAAGAGGGGATAGTCGGGTGTTTTATGAAGATGTAACCTGTCCCCCGGCTGGTTACCTTTGTTGTCGGCCGTGTTTAGTTGTTTTGCCGTCGTTCTTTGTTGACGCGCTGTTGCGACTGAGCGGCGATTCAAAGAAACTGAACAGCGACCGGCGCGGATCAAGGTTGGTCCGCCCCGCGAGTGGCGCAGTTCTCACCCGAAAGAGTAAATCCCAAACACTCGGGCCTAAAGCGGAAGGTACGACCAAAACATGCAAGGACCATTGGCTCAGGCGCGGGGGAGGGGAAACAAACTCGTCATTGACTTTTGACCGTTGGTTATTCTTAGCACAAAGCGAGGATTCGGGAGTGGCATCATGCTTTGTATTGTTATTATCTATTGAAGAGTGCCACGCGAGATTCGATCTCTTTCTCTTCTTAAAGGTTGGTTTTCCTTGAACTACAGCTGGCAGCTCGGGGCTGCAGTGAGTCTCCCTAGACAACCACCACCCGCTACTACATACATACACATAAACAATCGTTCCAGCAGACTATCCCCTTGCTGAATTCAATCAACTCTACCTTAGTATATGCTCACTTATATGTGAGATAAGTTCTATAGTGATACCTGGAATCTGGGGATTTACATGGTTCTGGTGGATTCTTGACATGTTGATGAACAAGAACTCGTTATCTCGCGGGTACCATGCTGAGTGGCTCCCGCGGCCAAAATTTGTGTTGACCTTTGCTTCAGTCGATGTCTTGAGTCATTGCTTTTCTACGATGTGCAGTGACTTCACTTGACTAGCCATCATACAGTCCAAATTACAGCATTGCAGAGTGGACCTTGAATAGTCTATTAACAGACACAGCATTTTGTGAGTCGTGACACTAAGCTTGCTTGGTCTTGCCACCATACTCTTCTTGGTTCTGGCCCGAATCATCACCCGCAGGCCTTCTAGAATCCGTGGACGTTTCGGACCCTGACAAGAGCTCGGCAGTAACGTACTGTAACCAGCCTTAGAGCAAGGCCGCCAAGGCCAATTATACCACTCAGCTTCCAGCAATCCTCCAACCAAAGTGCGATGTTATATTCGCTCGGGCACTTGAAACGCGTCAGGCCATGTTTGAAAATTACATTCAGGGGCAGTTTCTTCCAGTCCTTTCCGTCAGCATCATGTGGAATGCACACCAACATACTAACTACATAGGTACGGAAATCCTTGGAGAATAAGTAGCCAACCTGCTGCAGTCGATGTCGCAGTCGAGTGTTTGATGTTGGATTGGGCCCTCTTATCGAATCATCGGTGTCTATGCGTCCCCTGTTCCCTCTTTCTGCCCGTCATCTGCAGTGCTAGCGAACCCATAGTGGATCGATCGCTCAGGTGATGATACTGAGTAAGTCTGCAGTCGAACGGGTCTTGGAAATTGGATCGACTGGCTGCCGAATAAATTGGTGGTAAACTCAGAACGGGCTAGGATGGTGGAAACCTGGAAGAGCGTCATACAAGATAATAATAATTAATCAGGCGAAAATTGTTCATAGCTAACTAGTGTCCGGTCGAACAAAGAACGGAGTTCCGGGTTAGATCAGGCAATTTCCATGGTTCACAATGCGGACAGATATCAGACATCAGATTCCCATCTTTCGCGACATCTAGACAATTTGTGCATACACAGTAGTCCGGAGACACTGTAGAACGGAGGTAACCGAGCAAGCAACCGGAGTAATTCGTTGTCTAGCTGTTTGTTGGCGATAGGGATGATTATTGGCAAGCGATCGACGGGGCGAGGCTCGGTGGATGCCCTCAAAAACCGACGGCGGCCCCTGAGCAAATGGTAGACTAGAAGAGGGAGGAGGGGGGGAGGGGAGAAGAGGAGAGGAGGCAAGAGTGTCAGCGTTGCTAGTGGCCGACACTAACACTAAACCATTTCATCGCGACTCACTCTCTTGCTCACTTGATTCCCCAATTCTCGACCCTGAAACCTCCCCTCCTCTCTTCTCACCCCCCAAAATAACGCCGTCTCCCTTTCTCTTCTTCTTTCCTCCCCCCCTCTGGCCTTCCCTTTCCCATCATTTATCTGACCCCCCGTTCAGATCACCCAAACGACGAGCACAGGCGGTGATCACCTCTACTGACGGAGCAGAAGCGCCAATTCGACCCACGCAAGATATGCTGTCGCCATTGACGGCCCCTCTCCCGACTGCTCATCTTCCTTATCGCGTCTCGCTCTCGAATTAACCCCACCGTTCTTGTCGCGCTCATCAACAACCCCCCTCGCCCTATCAGCACCCCTGACGGCTAGATCTTTTCGAGGAATGTGCCAGCGGACTGCCTGAACAACATCCACCATCGCAATTTGAACAATCATAATGGCCTCAGAAAGCTCCGATAACACTCCATCGCACGTCCATTCGGACTCGACAAACACTGTGTCGCATGACACCGACTCAATGGTCACCGTACCATTGACTTCCAATTCAGAAGACACACAACCCGACTGGCGGACACTGAATATTCCTCCCACACCGATCGACATAATTACTCCGACAAGCGGGAACTCAAGCGACAAAGAGACTGACGCAAGAACCACACCGATTCAAGACCCACAAACATTCGAGTTACAGCCAGTTGCATACCGCGATGATGCCAGCTCGACTCGGTCCCGCCGCAGTAGTGGGGAACATGATCGACAAGATGCGGTGGATTGGGAGGAATTGGAGAAGACGGAAGAGCAGGAGCCCCGTTGTGAAGGATCAGACGAGGTATGTCTTCCAGAATGCGCTGTGGGAGTCACTCACAGACTGACATGGGCCAGTCAACCGCTCTGCTTTTAGCACGTCTTGAACAGGAGAACAATGCGCTGGCGACCAATCCCAAATCGGGTCTACCAAAGAAGACTCATGCACAGCAAGTGTCGCAAAGACCGTCTCGATCTCAGTCCCTGCATCAGATCAAGCGCCTGATCGATGAGGACCCCCGATCGTCCCTCCGATACTCGCAACTACCTCCTCCGCCTATGACTGAGTTGGAATTCTGGGCAGCCTTGGTTGCGGACTATCCACAGACAGCCCAGCGCCTACCAACCTTGACCTCGAACAAGATTAGAAGCGGTGTTCCTCCCCCGCTCCGCGGCGTCGTGTGGCCCAGCTTGGCTGGTGCTCGAGACTCGACCTTGTTATCAGAATATCAGAGGCTCTGTGGCGAAACAAGTCCGTATGAAGGGTTGATCGGCAAGGATATAGGGCGTAGCTTCCCCAATGTGGAGATGTTTCGTGACCCTAATGGTGAAGGACAGCAGATGCTCGGTCGGGTTTTGAAATGTTTCAGTCTCTACGACACGAAGATCGGCTACTGCCAAGGACTAGGCTTTGTCGTTGGTCCCTTGCTTATGCACATGACGGATGCAGAAGCATTCTGCGTGCTTGTGCGGTAAGTACTTCCACCACACGGAAACCTAGCTTCAATACTAATGGCTCCAGGTTAATGGATCATTATGACTTGCGGACTTGCTACCTCCCAGACCTCTCGGGCCTTCATCTTCGAGTGTATCAGTTCCAGAACCTCTTGTCTCGGTTACGACCGGGATTGTTTGCACACTTGGAGGCGCTCAACGTGGAGCCTGTCTATGTGTCGCAGTGGTTCTTATCATTTTTCGCTGTCGCATGCCCTCTTCCAATGCTTCTTCGCATTTACGATGTGATCTTTCTCGAGGGAGCTTGCGAGACCTTGATGCGTGTGGCTCTGTCACTCATGACGCGGAACGAAAAGAAGATAATGGCTTGCGCCGAGTTTGAGGACGTCATGCAGCTTCTGTTGTCTAGAAGTCTCTGGGATACGTATGTGAATTGTCATGAATACTTGAGAGTTTCAACTAATGATATACAGTTACGCTTGCCATGCAGATGAATTCGTTAACGACTTCGTCTCACTCACGTCGCTCGTTACGAAAGAAAGTCTCCAAGCCTTAGAAGCCAGCTACAATCAATCACAGGGTGTGCCGACCGGTATCTCTTTTCCCCAGATGCAAGCAACGGCCTCACGGTTCCTGGGGCGGCTCTGGGCGGGCTCTTCCCACAACTCCACCAAGTCGGTTAATCTCAACCCTAACGCCGCTAGCGCGGCTATCCGGCGATCGGCGTCTAAACAAAGCATGACATCCACACTTAACTCGGTCGAATCGACATCCGATGCCAGCACAGCACCGACAGAGCTATCGACGGACGCACCGAAGCCGCGCGCAAAATCTGCAATGTCGCAACACAAAGATCGTGATCTCCATACACAGATCGAGGATCTCTTGATGGCTCTGAGCGATCTCCAGCGCCAACATGCGGATCTCACACGTGAGCTGCAGCAAGAGCGAGAGGAACGCGAGGAAGACCAAGCGCTGGCCAAGTCAATGCTGCAGTACATCAAACAAACCAGCGATGAGCCTCCAATGGACCTGGTCCATAAGGCAGACGCACGCTTCGCCACGGTAGAATCTGCCAAGCATGTTCCGATGGATCAGACCAAGCAACAACTTCGTGATGACCTCAAGCGATGGAAGGAGATGCATGCTACGGAGGCCAGTCGGTGCTCAGGCCTGACCCGGCGTATTGACGAGATTGACAAAGACAATTCGTCATTGCGGGAGCAGCTCCGCGAAGCCCGTGGCCGCATCCAAGATAGCTATCGGGAGCGACAGCGTCTGGAACGCATGGTGCGCGAGCTGCGGACTGTCAAGACCCGCAATTCGGATACTCCGCCGGAATCATATGGATCTCCCACGAGCGACACAAGCGAAGGATATACGAGTACGGGTCTGCGAGAACTCAAACTGGTACGCACGAATTCGCAGAAGAGCCACAAGAGCACAACATTCAACAAGCGGTCGAGCAGCTTGGGGCTGCAATCAGTCCTGGCGATGGAAAACAACAAGCCGGCCGCGGAAGAAGCATTGCTTTTGGAACTGGTGAATGCAAAGACGGCCGAGGCAGTGGCACGCCAGGAACTCGAAGAGGTCAAGGGAGCGCTCGACGCACTGCGCAAGGTGGTTTTGCGAAATGGTCAAAACACAGAAGCTCGACTCTCATTCCTGGGCCGGTCATCATCTAGTCTGGGTATACCTTTATCCAAAGCACCCGCAGAGCCTGCCAATGGGGGCGGGCTCTTCAGTGGCTGGGGACGACGAGCGGTGTCAACAAGCAATGAGACTTTTGATGGTCGGTAGGGAATTGAGAATTGAGAATACACCTGGAACTTCGGACTATGTATGTGCTTGATGCGGGACTATATCACGAGGTGTCTCAGATTGGTGTAGACGAGATTCGGTGTCGGACTGTTATGATATCCATGTATACGTATATTTGTATAGCTAGACTAGAGTTGCTGCATCCTCTTACCTTAATTTCATGGCCAAGAGAAAACCAAAAGAAAGAAGATGATGAGATAGTATAATACCTGAGCCATACATCCATCCTCGACTCTCTTCCGGCTCCGTTGGATGCATCATGGAAGCGTATACCCTCCATCAATCACAAGATTCGCCCCAGTCATATAACTCGACGCATCCGACGCGCAGAACACATACGCCTAACCAACCCCAACGAATCCTGTCAGCATCCGCATTTGCTTCAAAGTTTTACAAGACGCATCCAAAAAGGGCAAAAGAGCTTACCCCCTTCAACTCATAAGCGTCGGCCATCCGCTGCGCCGGAATCATACCAAACCACTTCTCCCGCCACTCCTGCGGATGGATGTCCAAGATATCCGTCTCGATGAACCCGGGCGAGATGCAATTCACACGACAGAAATCCACCCACTCGACGGCCAGGCATTTGGCCATTTGCACGACGCCCGCTTTCGAAGCATTATACTAGACCGGTCCCAACGAAGACATATTCATCAGCGCAGCCCTTCGATTGGCTCCTTGCACGGCTCACTCTGGTCCAGCTCACTCCGATCTCATCACAGGAAGACTCTGGGGAAGGAAGAACATACAGCAGCCTGCCTCTGCGGCACATTAACCAGCGTCGCGCTGACCGACGCCGTGAAGATGACATTCCCATGGCCCTGGGCCCTGAAGATCCGCGCGGCGGCCTGGGCGGTCCAGAAGGCGCCGTCGAGGTTGACCTTCATGATCTCGTGCCATTGCGCGGGCGTGTACTCCTCCGCCGGGACGTTGGAGACGATCCCCGAGTTCACCACGATGATGTCGAGCCGCGAGAAGTCGGTGGCGATCTGTTGGATGGTGGCGGCGATGGAGGCTTGGTCGGAGACGTCGGCACGGTAGGCGCTGGCCTTGATGTTGTGGGCGGAGGCCAGGGTCGATGCGAGGGTCGTCGCGGTTTCCGGGGAGGAGCTGTTGTAGATTATTGCGATCTGTTTGGGGGATGAGATTGTTAGGGGGCGGGATGGTGCTGGGTTGGGAAGGGGGTGGAGGCGGCTCACGTCGGCTCCTGCTTCTGCTAGGGCTGTCGAGACTTCTAGGCCGATGCCCCGGGCGCCGCCTGTTGTTTGGTTGGTGAGAGAGAGCTGGATGGTTGGGATGGAGATACTGTTGTACCTGTGATGGCGGCGACTTTGCCGGTTAGGTCGAAGGATTTGAGAACAGTCTTGTTTTCGGGCTTGGCGAGGACCATCTTGGGTGCTTGGAAGATGGTTTATAGGTGTAGGATGTTGGTAGAAGTAAAGTAAAGCTTGGATCGAGATCGTGGGGTAGTTTCTATAGAGTGTGAAGGTGAGGGTGGAGAGGATCGAAATACCCCGCCTGTCGGAGGCTCTCCGAGCTCTTCTCTCTTCTCTCTTCTCTCTCTCCGCCTCCCCTTCGCTGTCTGAAGCTTTGACCCGATACGTCCATTTTCGATCAGTGTCTATTGATGTTGTATCTGAAGATAGTCCTGATCTCTTTGATAAGAGTCATGTGCTGACAGTCCTGGTATAGTTGACAGGAAGCCAGTCGAAGCTATCGCAAAAGACGCAGCGAAGACCATCACTCCCACCACAACAAGCGAAAAGAAGGCCCCTCACTTATCACACATAACGCAGAGCCTGGTGCTTCAGGGCTGATGAGTCTCATGCTAATGCTGGATCTTGAATATGCTACAAGGCGGAAGGAATGTGAATTTCGAGCCTTCAAGCCTAAATGCGACACGAGATCATACAAGACGAATGATGCGCTCCCACACAGAGCTGTGGATAGCATCGAGTAAGTTCAGGCAGAAGGATATTTAACATCCGAGACCCAATGATATTTGGAATTTCCGACCTCGGGCTTGATGGCGCTAAGCGTCCCTACGTGGCGGCCATGGCAGCCTATGATTTTCAACTCCAAGCGCGACACAGGAGCCTCCAACACGAAGAAGCTCATCTAATCAGAGTTAACGATGACAGTCCGTGTCTGTGGCTTGGGCATCGCCAATTGACATTCCCGAGGCACGAGGCGTCAATGCCATTCGATGAACATCTGCCACCAGCCCGCATTGACAGTGTCGATCATCCCACCGGGTCGGAAATGCTGTCCCCAGAAGCTCCCCTGCCACTGGCTGCATTAATCACAGCCCCGATAGTGCTTCGTGGGATGAACAACTTTGCGTCATCGTCGCGGGGTCATGAGGCGGTTCATCTGACCGAAAATCTTTAATGCACCTTCTTTTCGTATTTAGACGTTCAAGCTCCTGAAATGTGTGACATCGAGAATCTGGAACAGCATTCGAATTGACTTTACATCTATAGTCAACACAAACACTGATTGTATCGATGGTGGAGCGCAATATCAGTCTCCTCAGCCTTGATGGCGGGGGAGTTAGGAGCCTCTCTTCACTTTACATTCTCAAACACATCATGGAATCTATTGATGGCGAGAATACGCCGCGGCCATGCGACTATTTTGATCTCATCGGAGGTTCGGGCTCGGGCGGGTAAGCTGATCTTGCGCAATAACTGCACAGCAGCATCGGTCGCCAGCTGAACTACTATAGATTGATCGCGATAATGCTAGGTCGCCTGAAGATGGACATTGACCAGTGTATCAATGCCTACCGTCGACTCCTGAAATTTGTCTTCGCGCGCAAAAGACATATCCCTTTCACAAGCAACCTGTGCAGGCAGTCGAAATACGATGGACGAAGGGTGGAATCGGCGATGAAAGCAATTCTTCACGAGCTTGGGTATGAGGACGATGTGCTTCTGAGGGACATTGATACTTCGTGCAGAGTGTAAGCATGCTGTCGAATTTATCATTCTCTTCAAGTTGGCAAGACTGACCCGACGAAGCTTTGCCTGCGTTACAGACGACGGATCCAAACGAAACTCTGCCCCCTTGACGAGCTACCCCAGCAAATATTGCTCCAACGAGCTGTTCAAGACCGCGAAGGTGTGGCAAGCAGGGAAAGCGAGTATGTCCACACCACCACTGTTCGACCCCGTTCCGATCGGGCCCAGCGGACGACAGTTCTACAACAGTACCACCGAAGCGAATAACCCGGTGCGGGAGGTCTGGATAGAAGCCAGAGGAATCTGGCCTTCAGGATCGTTGGACAGCCAGATCCAATGTCTGATATCGATTGGAACCGGCGTACCGTCGATCAAACGGCTCAATAAGTCGATGTTCGGCTTGATAAAGACGATGCCCAAGGACTATGTCGATACGGAAAGGGACATGAATAAGTTCATCAGGGAGCATACCGAGCTGGATGATGCAAGCCGCCTATTTCGCTTCGATGTGCCAAACGGACTGGCGGAGATAGGTCTCGATGGTGCTGATGAGCTTGATACGATTATTGATGCCACCCAAGATTACCTCGCCAAGGAGCTCGTTTACAAGCAGATTCAGCGGTGCGGAATTGCCCTTGGCGGCTTTCGGTAGACCGACTGCCTGGTATCTGTTTGCCGGCCAATCCATGCTTGGGCTAGGATGGTTTAGAGCGCGAGATAGCCACTCTGAGTACCCGGTGGTAGCGAGCCTTCGACCAGGAAGCTCAGTAACTGAGAAGTTCTTGTAGAATCCCTTCGTGAAGTGCACTGGGCCTCTGAAAACATGTGATCTTCGGAAGGAAACAGGCTGCCCCCGGTCAGACGCTTCTATAGATTGTTGTGGATCTTGTTTTTCCATCATGAATTGTGCAACAGCGATGCCTGCACATTCGTGATATCTGAATTCATGTCTGTTATGAAGGAAGTAACCATCAAGACAGTCTAGATCACTGTTTGGCGAAGCTGTCTCACGTGACAGGCGATCCTTGTCACCTTATCCAGCTCCCTTTCTTGCACCATCCCGTCACCCTGATTGATGCAGGTTTGATCGCCCACATCATGAGACACAGCTCTGACACGAATTTCGAAACAGCAGATTGGTTAAGATATATATGATGCTGAGGTCATTGATACGCTCGTTACCCCGGCTTAGACCGACATGGAAGCCCCTTGATTTCTCCAACGCGAACTTCGTTCCTATCCCGTCCAGTCAGAAAGTCGAAGAGGAGACTATACCTGACTATGCTGCATCACACTACTATCCGACTCGGGTAGGTGAAGTTCTCAAAAACCAATATCAGATTGTGGGAAAACTCGGATTCGGGACCAGCTCGACTGTGTGGCTTGCGCGGGACATGAAGTGAGCACTCCATGCTACTTATAGATCCGGAACTTTCAAAATAACCCGTCGATGAGCTAAACATCAGCTACCATCGCTGCGTGACCCTCAAAATCTACATCACAGCTGCATCGATTGGGCAGCATCTGGATGATGAGCTTAACATGTACCGGCGTATAGAAAGGGGTTCAAAAAAGCACCCAGGTCGTGGCGCTGTCAGGCCACTACTTGACTCGTTTGATATCAATGGACCCCACGATAAGCATCGTTGCCTTGTACATCCTCCTTTATGGGAGAATGTCTTGGCCTTCTTGTACCGGAATCCGGTGCGGAAGCTGCCTGTGCCTGTCCTCGCATTCATCCTTAAGCGCCTATTCTTAGCGCTAGATTATCTGCATACCGAGTGCCAGATCATACATACTGGTATACGTTCCTCCGGAGCCTTGAACTGTCTCATCACTGTACTAATACCTCAAGTCTATCAGATATCAAGGCCGACAATATCATGTTCGGGGTTGGGGATGAATCTGTCTTTCGTGGTCTTGTTCAAGAAGAGCTTGAAACCCCTAGTCCAAGGAAAGAACTCGATGGCAGAACTATCTACATGTCCCGGGAGCTGGGGTTGCCTGGGGAATGGGGTGCCCCGGTCCTTTGTGACTTTGGCTCAGCTGTGCCTGGTGATATGGAGCACCTAGAGGATATTCAGCCTGATATCTATCGGGCACCGGAAGTGATTCTCAAGGCCCCCTGGACGTACAGTGTTGACATCTGGAATGTTGGTTGCATGGTAGGCGAATGACGCTGATGATCCTGGCTGCGTGCGAGCTTTCTGACGTTCTCTCTTCTCTCACAGATCTGGAATGTGTTTGAAGGCGGATCCCTGTTCACCGGATACGACCCAGAATATCAGACGTATCGAAGTAGGGCCCATCTCGCAGAGATCATTCGCCTGCTTGGACCTCCTCCACCCAGTCTGCTTGCTCGAGGCAGACTAAAGCACAAGTTCTTCTCCGATGAAGGTAAGGTAATCTCCACCGTGAAACGTTCTATGTTTGCTCACCCCGTCTGGCATTACAGGTGAATTCTGTGCTGGTATTCCATTGCAAGAACCAATCTCGCTTGAGCAGAGGGAAACGACCCTTGAAGGGCAGGAAAAGGCCGATTTCTTGCGCTTGATGCGGAAGATGTTGCAGTGGGACCCTGCTCGGCATAGCTCAGCGAGAGAATTGTTGGAGGATGAGTGGATTTGTAGGCATACTCGCAATTCAACATGAGGGACTTTATAGCGCACAGCGTATTCATGTTATGCTGCATTATCTGCCTTCGAGGCTACCTAGAAATGGTTCGCTCGGTAACCGAGTTGCCCCGAACCACGAAAGTCCAACCAGACTCGAGGTCGATCAAACTCTACCTGACTTGGTGAGTAATTCTCCGCAGAAACCTCTGATAGAATCTCGGAACCGACCGCGTTTGCAGCCAGCTCAGATGCACTACACACGATGACGCCGGTGTTTGTTCGAGGAAAAGGGTGACGTCACGCCCACCCAGCCGAAGGTACAAAACAGCTGGTAATTCAACCACACTTCTGGTCCCCAAGCACACAAAACCAATCCCAATAAACCAACTTCAAAATGGTTAAAAGCAAGGACACAGTTATCGAGTAAGCATCAAAACCAACATGTCCACTAGCTACTCCAATGAAAGTAGCGCTGATCAGGGAAAAACCAAAACCCCAGCGAATTCAACGAGCTGGTCAACATGACCCCCAACGAGCTCCGCGATTGGCTCCAAGAGGAACAGTCCCAATCCTCCGGCTGGAGCAAGAACAGTGAGTCAGGCGAGACGATCGGGCATGAGAGGTAAGCCGCACCCTTCATTTTATTTTCTTTTTGCGTCAGGGATCATCCTTGTAGCCCTGCGTGTAATGTCGCATGTATGCTGAGCTTGAGTGTGTCTTTTCCCGCATTTGATAGTGGTCGCAAAATCGTGGATATCCTCGAAAGCAACCCGTCCAAGGATGCCTCCAAGTACTCGGATGAGGACATCGATCATATGCGGAAGGTGGTGTCATACTGCAAGCGGCATCTGGCCCAGGAGGAGACCGCGAAGCAGGACACGGATAGTAAGAGCTATCGGTCGCTGAAGAACTGGGGTCATGATCCGCTGAAGGAATGAGGGACTGTTACTTGTTCTGGAAGGGGTTTTGTTTCTGGGTTGGACGTGTATAAATAGGTTACGGGTATGGTTATTGTGTGGATATAGTGTGAACTTTGTAAGACTGGCCTCGTTGAGCTTTAGCTGTTTTTAGGTGTAATGCTGTTGCGTTAGATGGGGCGTAGAGGCGCAGGGGGTATTTAGTTAACTAGTCAAGCAGGAATTGTCCTATTTTGAGGCGTTGCATAGTTCTGATCTGACGCCGAAAGGAGGTGTCGAGAATCGCGCGTTGCAGTACCGCTTCTACCTTCTTCTTCTAAATGCTCATTAAACTTATAATGCCTGTCAGGATAGATCGAAGCTATGGAGCTAGTCGACTCACTAGATATATCCTCATATATCTCACGTACGGACCGGTCGCACTAACGGCGGTGCTGCACGCAGGCGTCGGCGTATGTCGATCGGCTATTGCCATTAACTCCGTAGAATCATCTCCCTTAGTAAATGATCCCTGTGGGGTGTGATCTCTTGCTCCAAGTGGGCGGAAATAGCAACCATTGCAAGCGAGCCAACGGTGGGAATCGTCGGTTCATCAGCATCGCTTGTGCTTGTAGTCCTTTCGGACTCCCTCTATTTCCCCTCTTCCTTCACAGCAGTCCATCATACCAACAAGACATCGTGTGTATGATGTATCTGCGGTGCCGAGAAAACAAAACTCTGGCGTAGCTGAGCAGGAGTACGTAATTGGCGTCGCGATAGCTTCACATTACCCCGGCTAGTCCCCGCACAGGCCGCTCGGCTTCGCGCAAGTACACTCTGGCGAGAGCCGAGCTCAGAGGCTTCTAGATCTCTGACTTGGAGGTCTTGGTTTCTCTTGTCAGTTTGCCGACTTCTGGTACTCAAGGTATGTCCCACACCGTAAGAATTGCAAGAACTGGGATGACCGCTTGGCTGGCCTTTCACATGCTGCAGCGTCGAGGAAATCATTGCACGGTCTTTTGCGGGAAACAGGGCAGAGCGTTGTGGATGGAATGGGGGCAATCTGGCGATATACGAGACGGCAATCTAGTCTGGTCTCTTATCATGAGCTCTGCTTGCGGCCAAGATTATCCCAAGAACTTGGGGAAAAGGTCAAAACAAAGGTGAAGGCGGAGATGGCGTGATCCCCAACAACGTGGGGAATGCCCGCCAGTGTGCCTGCCCGTCAAGGATCGCCATCTTCGGTTAACTCTCCCAGCTGCTTGCTTTTCCCTCCTCATCCTCCCACCAACCCACCAACCCACCAACCCACCAACAACTCTAGCCCCCTCACCCCGGTCACTCCCTCTCCACAGCTCCAGCACTAAATTGCCGATCCTTGATCTTGCTTATCAGCTAGTATGTAACTACTAGTGCGTCTACCAGAACCTCAGCAGCCTGACTTCTACTCGTCCATCGAGGTCCTGATTTCACGATTGGCTGTCATGCCACGATCTGGGGGTCAACAACTTGGCACCCACCCCCGACTGCATTACTGGCTAAGAAAAACTCCTTTGCATCTTAGGTGGTCATCCGAATACGATGTACAATCACTGGAAGGCATTTCGCACCCAGAAGAAAAAGAATTAAACAACCCAAGGCTCCACGTGTGCCGCGTCTTGGTGGTGCTTAGCAGGCGGTCCTAATGCCCAATAGCACAAGTTAGCACGATTTCTAAGCGGCATCTTCTCAACACTAGCTGTTAGAACACGCGATCTCACTCTACTAGTTCCCAGTGGTAATCATGGGCAGAATATTCCCAACGATCTCCAATAAGGAACGACTGATCACAAGATCCCCAGCTCCAGCAGGTCGCCTCAGTACTGGACCAGGAATAGTGCAGGACCAAGACTCCACCGTGGCAGCTGAACACACACAGCAAGAAGCGTAGTTCATGCTACTAAGTCTCTGGATATCGGATGTTTTCGTGAATAGTCTTGCTCTCGTCACGTTTCCCCCATATTTGTTCTTACGCAGTTATTACGCCTCTCTACCACCAGGACTCGGTCTAACGAAGGCGCAGCGCGCACTTGGTTGGCTTCAGAATCTGCCGGGCACGTGGCGGAGTGCACCGCGCGGGTCGGTCCTTTGTGCGTGCGACATGATTCATTTCCCCCCGAACCGAGAGAGCGTTACTCAGACATGGCCATTGCCGTTGGGCCGGTTCATCCGAGGCCATAGTAGCTGGAATCCAGATTCGCCAATTGGAACCCACCGCAAGGCATTCTGCGCGCCATGAGCGCGCGACCGTATCTTCTCGAGCCCCTGACGCTTAATGTCTCTTCTTCGGGGGATAAGTTATGAAATCATGTCCAGCTCATATTCGGTGGATTTTGCCCCTCGTGAAGGAGGGAGGAGAGCTGGCGGCGTTATGCCAGCGCATACTGACTGCCCCTGGCATTCCTGCAGGGCATGAACTCGTAACTTTCGGCCAGGTCCTCGACTCCCATTCGGGCTCTCCGATGGGTTGAGGAGCTTGAGCTTGGCCATTGTCCCTATCTCCAACTTTGAGCTCGAAATTTGGCTTGAGCCGCCATTCTACTAGTCACGTCATACGGCCCGAGTGGGTTTAGCTGGCCTGGTTTCGCTAATCGGGTTCGTATAGAGTGCATTCGTGGCTTGCGGGGCCGCTTTATTTGTCAATCTATACAAGGCCAAGATTTAGTGACTTAGTGCCCTACGATGGGCCCGGGATAAGCCTACTGCATCAGAGGCTTTCGTTGAGAATATGACTCTTCAATGTTGGCCTGGGAAATGCCTGACAAGGCGGATCCCTCACTTGCTTGGCCCTGAATGCGGGTGATTTAGTTTTGCTTTTTTTTGTTTTTAATTTTTCCCATCCCTTTTCGCTACATTCTGCTTTCTCTGGGTTCGTTCTTCTTATCTTTCTATGCAACGCGGTCACCTGGGTACCCTCAAGCGAGACTCTACATGCACTGGGTTGACCGACGTCTTTCTCTACCTGTTGACAGAAATCCCGCCCCAATCGCCAAGGCCACTACGCTCGCCTGGCCCCGATGCTGCGGTGTCTCCCCACAATTGGCCAAGGATCTTCTATCTGGCAAGGTGCAAGGTCCCACGTCATTACGTTTCCAAACAAGTTCCCCTCTTACGGAAGGTTTCTCGCCTGTCCGATTATCTGCTTCAGAAATTCATTTTCACTGGGTTCTAAAATTAACGCAATGAGCCTCATGGGTCGCTCCACCTTCAAGAATGGACCTCTGAGTGATGAGCCGCCTTCAAGCTCTTTCCGGAAGAACCTGATATCTGATACGTCGAGCGGATGGAGAATATGTCTGAGCGGTGTCAGGAAAAGACGACTAGCGGTCAGCACCATTCCCAACGCGCCCGATATCAGCGTCAGGCATGCCATGTGCTGGCGGACGGTAAATAGTGCGGGTGAAAATGACTCTACTTTTCAGGCTTGCAGTAATGCGAGCATTCTGGTGCACAGTGTGCGCCACGGTAGTCGGCTTCTGAATCGTCCAAGACATGAATCATGACATATATCATTCTTGGAAGCAAAACTGGCTGTGATCCGAGAAGTGCGCCGGCCAATCCGCTCGAGCTCAATGCTGAATATGCATTTCCGGGGTCTGAACGCTCGTTTCTCTCATAGGCGAGGTTCCAGAGACCGATGTTCTCCCTGGGATGGAGATCCATGGTCGCTTATTCACAGCCTTGGGCCGGCCATCATGCAGAAGCCGATATGCCACGAGGTCAAGGCTCATTCCTTTTCAAGTAGGGCTTGCGATGTTAGATACGAGCATGAGTTGGTTGCAAATCAGAAATTGAGGTTCGAATTTCCTCCTCGCAAAATTGCTCTCCAACAAATCGATCTGCTGCTGCGCTAGCGGTCATTTCAGAACTTCGTCGTGTCCGTCATTGGATGCCTCCATAGGTCTCATACTCATATGACTGGGTGGAGATCCGTACAGCTGGGGGATTGCTTGCATTAGGGCTGCTTTAGATCCGAGTATGAACGATGGGTCGGGAAGACCTGTCAAGGCCAGTGCTGCATGGAAGTCACCGAGCCCTGCAAATCAGTCTTCCCCGGGGCGAGACAGACCGGGAGGCTGATTTATGGAGACAGAGCAGACAACATGAGCCGAATTGGAATCCTGAATAGGGCAAGGCTCAACATTACAGTCACCGGCTCACCCTGGGTGCTGGTATAAAGCCGTGGGTCCAAGGCGGGGACCCATGTCAGGATAGTCAGTGATCGGTTTATCCCTTTGTGGTCCTCGTTTCCATTTCCCCTCGTTACTCAATGAATTTCCTTTTGCTCTTATGGCTCCTGGCCTCATTGGCCTTGAGCAGTCCGATTGCGCACGATCTCTTTCCATTCAAACAGACGTCTCAGCTGGAGGCAAGGGCCGCAAATCAGAGTCAGTCGTTACAGAACTCTCAGGTGCCTTGGAAAGGATTTGACATCAATACAAATTACTACAAGACTGCCCCGGATACAGGCGCTGTGCGGGAGTATTTCTTCGACATCATCAATACCACTCGTGCACCTGATGGGGTCGAGCGGCGGGTGCTTCTTGTCAATGGACAATTCCCAGGTCCAACCATCGAGGCCAACTGGGGAGACACAGTGAAGGTGCATGTCACCAATCGCATGCATGACAATGGCACTGCAATTCACTTCCATGGGATTCGACAGCTGAACAACAACCAAATGGACGGGGTAACGGCTCTGACTCAATGCCCTGTACCTCCCGGATCAAGCTACACATATGTCTGGAAGGCCGAGCAGTACGGTTCAAGCTGGTACCATTCGCATTTCTCTCTCCAGGCTTGGGAGGGCGTATACGGAGGCATCGTGATCCATGGCCCTTCTACGGCTGACTACGATCAAGACCTGGGTGTTCTCTTTCTGAGTGACTGGCTTCATGAGACCTATTATAGCTATTATCAAGAGGATCTCAATAGTGGCCGGCTGCCTACCATGGTGACGGGCCTGTTGAATGGGACGAATGTCTGGGTTCCCAAGCATGGCCCTACTGTCGGTCAACGATTCCAGACTACCTTTGTGCCAGGTCGGAGGTATCGCATCCGTCTGGTCAATACTGCCATGCACACGCAGTTCAAGGTTTCGATCGACAATCATGACCTCACCGTGATTGCGGCTGACTTCGTCCCAATGGTGCCATTCAAGACGAATCACGTCCCGATTGGAATGGGCCAGCGGTACGATATTATCGTGACTGCCAACCAAAGACCGGATAACTACTGGATTCGCGCGGTGCCGCAATCGTACTGCAGCAACAACACGGCGGCCGACAACATCAAAGGCATCTTGCGCTACAGGGGGTCCAACCCGAGCTCGGATCCGCGGTCGACGAAATGGGCCTATGGGGGCGACGTCGACTGTCAGGATTTTCCGACGTCGACCCTTGTCCCGAAACTTGCTTTGAACGCAGACCTCGGCGAGGCGAACACAGTGACCTCTGATACTGGCATCGGGGGCATTGGCAAGCCACCGATCTACCTATGGAAGATGGGAGGTGAAATCTTCAATACCTCCTGGAGTGACCCAACCCTACTGCAAACCTCTGATGCTCCGAAGAAGTCCAGCTGGGAGCCAGGCCAGGGAGTGATCCAGGCGAGCGTTGCGGATCAATGGACCGTGCTGATCATTCAGACGACCATTCCTGCCGTTCATCCCATTCATCTACACGGTAAGCTCTCCTTGTCTTTGCTCACGATCTCGTCCTAACCAAGTTCATCAGGCCACGATTTCTACATCCTAGCTCAAGGCCTTGGTACCTATGACCCCTCCACGGTTAAGCTGCAGACAGAAAACCCCACGCGCCGCGATACGCTCAACCTCCCCGCGGCAAACGGCAAGGGTGGCTACGTCGTCATCGGGTTTGAGGCTGATAACCCCGGTGCCTGGCTGATCCACTGCCACATCGGCTTTCACGCGGCGGAGGGATTCGCACAGCAGATCATCGAGCGCCAGAGTGAGTTTGAGGAGTTCCTGGACAGAGATGTCCTGGAAGAGACGTGTAATGCGTGGAATGAGTGGGCCGAGACGAACCCCTACGGGTTCCAGCACCGCGGCGATCATGGGCCATATGAGTCTGGTATCTGATCGGCTTGAACTAGGGGACTTTTGGCCTCTGGTCGAGGTATTCGTTCGTTTGTTCGTTCGTTTTTTTCCCTTTCATTTTGCTTATGACTGACGATGTGAAAATGACCGCACGGGATGATATGATTTAATGTCTTAATGTTTTAATAAGTGCTTGATGGGTAACACTTTGGGAGGAACTGATTGGGGTGTGCTTGATTCTGTGTCTTGTGGCGATTGACGATAGCCATGCAGGGACAATCTGATATTGATTGGGAATGTATTAGACTCACTGCCTAGCGATACATCCATACGTTTGCATAACTTCCTCCGAGCTGTACAGGTGAATTGGACTTGTGTCCGGTGGATTACATCGAGGCCAGATGATACTAGCTCTTCATCACGAGCTAGGGGGAAGCAAGATGATAGTGTGGGAAGCATCTCTCTCTGCGGGAGACAGGATCTCGTCCCCTGGGCTATACATTCTCTCCTGGTTTCGAAGAAACTGCCATCTCACAGTGCACATGTCCCCGATCGAGCAATCAGACCAGAGCTAGACCCAACCCCAGCCTTGACGATACAGCAATAGAGTCCAACATCACCCAGGGAAGGTATCAGGCTGGAGGCGGAGAGGGGAAATTTCGACCGAATTCCAGTATAACCCTCAGCTACATACAGTCCGGTACTTCCATCTTCAACATACCCCTAAGTATCCAATGGTACTGAAAGACCACCCATCCCCCTCCTACACCCACACATACCCTCTACAAGGAACCCACCAACCGAGGCATAACCCATGTATAACATTCCCGAAATCCCGCATTCTCCCTACCCACTCGTGAACCTCAAAAGGCCCGCACGTTCACAAGCAGCCACAACCGGCGAAAGAAAGAGTAGCGGTATCGCGCGAAGGACAGTCCAGTCCATACCCCTAAGCCCGGGCCCAACTAAGCTTACTGGGTGATGTTGCTGCTGCCTGGATAATCTGATCTGATATGATCTGATCTACCGTGGCTTGGCTATCGGTGCTGTGCGGTAGACACGAACTGAGGTAAGGGGGACTGTTATGTATGGTGGGTTGACGGTTCCTGCGTCTGGGCCACGCGTGCGGTGATAATACAGCAAGGTGTGGGCTTTACGTGAGATAGGAGGGTTCCTGCGGCTGGTTACGTGGGCTGCATAGCAGAGTTCACGGTGGATGCTTTGACAGGGGTGGGATTTAAGGTTGAGGGAGGGCGTTAAGGTTGGGGATATGCTGGTGCCTACGGTTGAGGGGGGCTGGGGTGGGGTATGGATGAGCTTGTTTTGACTTCGGGCTGGGAGTGCTGGGCTTCTAGGGCATGGTACCCTTATTGGAGGATGTCTGGTTGCTGCTGGTGTTGAGATTGACTCGGTATGGTGCGGTTGGAGTGGATTATAGTCAAGTAAACTGGGTGGATTATCTACCTAGATTATGCATGTAGGGTGTAGTAGGGAGGGTGGACGTGGTTGAACTAGTTCACGGACATCCACTATCTATCCACCAGACCACAAGGTGCTTGCATGGACAAAGAAAATTGGTAACACAGAAGTCCACAAACAAGAGGGATGAATGACTACCTAAGCCAAAATCTATGCTCCGCCACCGCAGGGATAATCGTGAACTCCCCCTGGGTGCAAAAGGAAACCCGGCGCGCCGCAGCCTCGATCAGCTCATAGACCTCTTGCTCAAAGACACTCTTGCCGTCATTCCACACGACGCTCAACTGCTGGTCCCGCAGTAGCCGCTTTCCCTCGCAATACTCTGGCGTTGTCACGTCAATGACCACCCAGTCCGTAGTCTTGATGTGCTGGCCGGCGCGACCCCGCGGCAGCCCGTCAACGACGACAAGCACTTTCTGCAGACCGTATACCACACCGCCAAATAGCACAGCTAGCGCATCGAGATCAAGCTGCAGCACCTCCAGCGGCACGGTCAGCTCCCAGTTGCGCCACGGCCTTCGCCCCCCGGGGCGACGGCGAGGCCACCGCAGCTTCGGTAGGTAGCCTCCCTCCCATTGCGCCCGCACTTGCTGGTAGTCGTCCAGCGAGAGGTAGACCTGGTGGCAGTAACCCAGCAAGACTTCCTTCCAAGGACTCTGCCAGCAGTTGGTTATGTAGTGCACAAGCCCCCCGTCGTGGTCTTTCCGGGTACATCGAGCCACGGAGAATTTCCAGAACGACCGTGACGAGAAATCCCCATAATCTTCGTCGCCGTCAGGGTCAGGGTCCCCCGCCCCGAGCGCTACGCGCCGAGCCTGTCCTCGACTGAGCCACTTCTCAGCAACGTGGCGGGATGTATGGCAGACTTGCTTGAGGGGTGGGACGGGGATGTGGAGCCGTTGGGCAACTTGGGGCCGCCGGCCGGGGCCGCCGTCGAAGAATTTCGTGTTCATCGGATAGAGGCTTATGATACCAAATTCCTTCCACCGAAGAAGCTCGAAGTCCTCGAGACACATCTCCCAGATTCGAAGCTGTAGCTCGGGTGGAAGTCTAAGGAAGGGATGGAAAGTTGTTAGGCGTTCTGTCCGGGGAGACTCCGAGTCTCGAACCGGGTTGATGATCTTCATGGCGTAAACTTACGCCACTTTTAGGGTCGATTATAGACGTGAGCCTTGTGCAATTCGTTGGAATGATTTCATCACCAGGTTTGCCATTGCAATTTATATACCGTCAAAGGGCTTTCGGATGCATAGGCCTGAGTTGATACATGTTCCCTGCTTGGTTGGACTTGCACAAAGAAAATGATACAAAAGGTGAGTTTCCTACTAGTCTTTTGTTCTTAGCCGACGCTTTCAATAGAGCCCCAAAACCTCTCGGGTCATTTTCACTATTTAGAGACCTCGAGTACTGCGTAAAGAGTTTAGTCCGTAGCATAAGGGCTTGACCTGAGGCTAGGCTGGTACATTCTCCTAGCTGAGCTTCGTAGCCTTCTTAGAGCAAGTGTTCTGTCAAGATGACAGGAGGAAGAAAGTCGATAATTATTGCGTTGGGAGACATTTTGATCCCAAATATAGGAGCATGCAAAGCAAGCAATCATTCTGATGACAGTTCCTCAAGGAGCTTGTTGCAGCTAGACTTAGATAACATTCCATTGGGTGATGACGAGTCTAGTCCATCAACCACTCATACTCGGAGGCAGATCCTCATCTTGGGTCCCCCAGTCGCTCTCTGCAGTTCCCAGCGTAAGTTCGAGGACTCCACCATCCGTGAAAAAGTCATGGCTAATCCAGTTTCTTGTCCATGGTTGACCATCTCGGGTGGCATTCTGGATGTAGATTGACTGATACGTCGGATCAAAGTTGATGTTTCGGATTGTGGCGGTCTTGCCCGTGACCTTGTTCAGGATGCTGACCTCTTTGAAAAACGGTGGGTTGACGAGGTAGACATCCTGCCCGTGAACCGGAAATAGTCCCATCATGCTTAGAGCTGCGAACGCTCCCATGGCTCCTCCGTCATCGTTGCCCGGGATACCAGAGACTGAGGTATTGAATTGCGAGGGAATATATGCATGTGCCTGCTTTGTGGACAGTCCAGGGCGTCCAGCGTAGTGGAATTGATGAACAGTGAGGAAGGCTTGCTCGTCACCGACGTAGAGAAGGCCCGAACTGTGCAAGTACGTAAGTCGAGAGACAAACGTCTCACGCCCACCGAGTCGGTTGATCAAAGAAGCCATGTCTTGCGGAACGTAACTGACAGATGTTAGCTCTCATCTGAGCTCAAAGCATCAGACATACTCACAATGAGTAAAGCCAAGCACTGCCCTCATACGTTTCATGGCCATTAGCATTCAGGTAGCACGAGTCAAAGCTTAACAGCGGGCTACAGAAAATAGGGTCCTGGTATCCCCATGTCCCATTCGGGTAGCGTGGCTGAAGAAAGCCAGTGAAACCCGTGTCCACTCCGCTGATGGCTGAGCTCTGATCGTCTTTGAACATGTTCTGCCAGTTCTTGGCGCGCTGTGAATACTTCTCGCTGTCGCTCTCATGGCCCAGGATCCGGGCCATCTCAGCAATGCAATAATCATCGTAGGCGTACTCAACCGTCCGGGAGATGCTTCGTGTGTGCAGTCCCACACCGTACGGATCGAAGTCATCTGTTGGTATATAGCTGAGTGTCTTCCAGCTAGTCAGGCCACCTCGTCCCTCAACATTCCAGTTCGAAGGCTCGACTTCTGCATCTTTCAACACGGCTTCATACGCCGTCGCCCAATCTATATCACTCACGTTCTTCAAGAGAGCCTCAGCCAAGAGTACATCTGCATTGGAACCTCCTTGGGTGTAGCCCTTACAGAGGGACATGCGGCAGTCGGGGAGATAGCCTTCATGACGATAGATATCAATAAGGCTCCGGATCATCAATGACTGCGACAGAGGATCCGCCAGTGTCAGCAGTTGATGCACACCGCGGTAGGAGTCCCAGATACTAAGCAAAAATGTTAGATGAAGCTTGACCGGAGGCACAGCGTTACTTACCAATAGTAGCTGTCATAATACGGCTCATCACTCTGCCAGAGTGGGTTCTCTCCAGTGTAGTCCTGTGGGCTGATCATTGCGCGATAAATACCGCTCCAGAATACTTTCTGCAGGTCGGTCGATGTGCCTTCTGCATCAACACTGAATGCGCTCAGTTTCTCCCTCCATGCACTCTCCGCTGCCCGCGCCGTGCCAGAAAAGTCAAAATTAGGTTGTTCGTTCTCTGCATTGGCACAGGCTTGATCCACGCTGATGAAGCTAACACCCACCCTGACGAGAATTGTGTCATTCGCCGTGGGGGCATTGAATCTGACGAATGTACCTCCACTTAGGGTCGATGCAGAATTGCTGCCATCCAAGGTTAGCGATAAAAATGTCTGGTTGAGACCCGCCCGGTTGTTCTGCCAGACGCCAGTATCTCGGACTTGTGCTCCTTTGATGTCCGCGCAAAAGTGTAGGTCATACGTCCCGATGCCGAAGCTAGGACTGAAGGTGCCGTTTCCTGTTAGTCTGCCTGTCGATGGGTCTACCGATGCGGTTCCGTTTGTGCGAGACTGGGGAAGATCCATTAGGTCGACGAGGACGACAGGGCTGTATGTTTCGCTGGAAGCGTTTTCAAACGTAAAACGATATAGCGCAGAATGGTTAGTGACGGTCATCTCAGCCAAGATGCCATTATCTAACGAGATCGAGAAATATCCTGGCCGAGCCTGGGGCGATGACCAGGCTGTGGCTCGCGCTGATTGTTGCCAGGCGCATTGATCTAGGTCATCGCTGGGACAGCTCGAATGCACGAAAATAGGAAAGTTGCCCAGGGATGGAGACTACCAATGGTTAATGAGGAGCTCAGCCACCGGCTAGGGAGGTCGAGCTTACACCACCAGTCCCAGAGTCGTGCATATGAGAGAACCCCGAGACATTTTGCGTGTCATATGCAAATCCGGCCTGATTTTCACCAAGAGTATCGGCTACTGCTTTGGCCATGCCTGTACAGAAGTTAACTGTCAAGAATAGTCGGATGTGGGCTGATCAGGTTGGGACGTACCAAAGGGCAAAGTTGCACCCGCGAAAGAATGACCTAACAGTCTTGTCAATTTTGAATGCCATTTTATGGCCAAGCCAAGTAGTTACCTCCATTGGAAGTTCCAATCAGCGGGTCGATGTAGTCGAGTACATCATAGGACACGCTATGATCATTGAGTACTCGTCGGGTCAAAGAAGCAGAAGCGAAAACTGTCAATCCAAGCACTCCAAGAAGCCCTGAAAGAGAAACTGGGTCCATTTTTCAGACAGTATCATCCAAGCTGGAGTCCAGTGAGTTGGCGGTTGTGAGGATGGTTGAAAATATAGTGTTTATAAACATTCCACAGCAACAAAGGGACCATGGCACAGATGCGGGGGGCAACCAGTCTTCTTAAAACAATGAAAGCCACCAATGTGATCGAATCAAAGCTCATCTGGAGTCACATTTGGCTGCGATCTGTTCATTGAGCCATATTGCATCAAACTTGCCAATTATCCTGGTCACATCACAAACTGGCTGCACGAATGGGTATAGAGCTGCCAGTCATGTAACCCTGATCAAGCTACTGCATGTAACACAACCTCGATGATCTGCTCGCAGTTTCTGCAAGGGATGATCGCGCTCCGATTGCCGAAGGGCGGAGGATTAGAATCGCCCAATACTTCCTTGTCCTCGGTTGAGGGATGTTTTTAGTGAGTCGCTTATCCCTTGTTAGCTTCAAGACAGGTCCTTGGTGTCCTCATGACTCCTTGGTCGGGCCTCGGTCCCTTCAGAGCGGCAAGCGATTGGGATGAAGAACACTGTTCTGCCGAGAACCTGGCTTCTTGTTTATTTAGAAAAAAAGAGGAGCCCGATGCTTTTCATACTTGGTGGTTCCGGTCCGTGGTATAAGAATTGGCTCTCGCCGATGCTGGACCTCGTACCCCATACCGAGCTTTTCCCCTAATAAGCTTATTTAAAACACGAGTCTATCTGGATTTTAATAATTTCGTAGTGGGCGATAACATATAGAGATGCTTTCGGATTCTTCGAGGCCGATAGGTGTCTTCTCGAAGGTGCAGAGCGCATGTGAAGCAGATGTCATTCTCGTGTGATATGCAGCGCCTGATTAAGCAGGTTTGCAATTAGCCGCAGTCGCTATAGTTTCCAAGCGAGGACTCGGAGGTACAAAGTGCATACCATGACGATATCCTTGGAAGTGTTGATCAATGCTCTTTGAGTAGTCTCATGGTGCACACTTGATCTGCTCTTGTGATACTCCGCGTCGTTTGTGTGCGGGGACGATGCGTCGGCTGACTTGCTAGCAAGTATCGCGCTATAACAGTCCAACCCTGCACACATGGTAGGCGGAGGTTGCATCGGATTGGGAGGAGAGGGGGCCCATCTTACAATGATGGTGGCAGTCTTTGACGAAGCTCAAGGCTGTTGTCGTTCTTCCCATCCTTGGATGACGAGAGAACTTGAGTACGTAGTAGGTGTGAGTGACCTCCCGGCCCCGGCCCCGGCCATTCTTAGTGACTGCCAATTTAGGAAACAAGGCCGCTAGGCATTTTTGGGCGATATAACAGCAACTTTCAAGTCCTCATCATTCACTTCATGGCGCAGACAGATATTCACAGATGTCCAACAGATGCTCACTATGGCACACATACAAACATCTCTTTCTCTTCCCTTGTTTCTTCTCAATCACTCTTCCCCTCTACACTCGATGCAACCACCCTGGAACCAAGAAACTGTCTACAAACATGGGCCTCCCAGCTGAGATTATGGCCATTGTAAGGCCCCTTTGGAATTGCGATGGGTTCTCAAGCTGACTATTGCTCGCAGATTGTGGCATTTGTTGCCAGCTGTAAAGTCATAGATTGTTTTGGTATCGATTTATCCCATATTGATTCAGTCTCGATGCATAATCTGGCCCGATTACGACTGATCAACAAGACTTTCTGCTATTTTGCTTCCGAACACTTCTTTCGAACACTGACGTGGACGCGGGGGCTATGGGAGGAGATCTGCTACAGCCCATATGCGGTACATGTCCGCCAGGTGCATCTAATTGACCCAGATCACGGTT